AATATTCAATGTATTGATATCCGGTGATTTGAATGTATTAAGAAGATGTTATGTGGCAGAATCTTAAGAAAGACAAGAGATGATCGGTCATAATCACATTTAAAAAGAAAAATAACTAATTGGAAGTTACCAGTCAAATAACTGTCGACGGAGGAAAAACCGTCGAGAACAATGGCTATAAAAAGGCATGTACTGAAGAAGATGAATGATATATTCAAAACCCCACATGACTCACGATCTGGACATTTTTAAGAGTAATTTTAAATTAATTTTAGAAAATAGTTACTGCTGTAATCAAATCTGTTTATTCATTCTTTTTTGTGACCCAAATCCATCAATGAATCATCTTTTATTAGTTTCACTGTGTGTTTATCCATTAGATTCATCCAAAGAAGTCCTAACACAATACATTTGAACTCCTCTCAAACAACCGTTTGAAAATTATCTATCAATTGAAAATTTTCAGTCGACCACAACAGATTTTATAGCAACACCTAGATAAAGCCCAAGTTTAGTTCATTTATGTTGATTGCAGGTGGTTCGTTGCATCGAAGATTTTCTTTACAGACAATGAACGAATGGTTCACGAAAACAATTTAAAAAAAAAAGTCTAAAAGATGTGTCTAAAATTCAATTAAAAAAAGAAAAAATGATACTATATAATAAAGCCATATCTAAACAAAAAGATCGGATCAACTAACTATTATTATACAAATCTTGAGGAGAAATAAAGAAACAAGATTAAGCACTTTTGGTTTTTTCCGCTTCACCAATCTGATTTGCATGATACGAAACTTTTGATGTTGTTTAATTAAAATAAACGTATTCGTAGAGGACACGGATATAGACGGTTATTATAACTTACACTAATTGACACATCCTTTCTTGGACAATGCTATGATACCGAATAATATATGTTAACGGTAAATATTAGTCCGAGTTATTTAAAATCATTATTCATAAAAATAATAAAATAATAGACTTTTCCACATCTAATACTATGATTTGACCAAAAAGATAGATTTGACACTGACAAATAATTTTTCGATATCATATTTTAACTCCCATTGAATAAGAAAGAAAGAAAAAGCATAGCCTTTAATTCTATGCGGCCTTTTTCATTTGTCGTATGGCTGATTGCCCCTTCTTTTTTTTTTTTCTTTGACATGGATAGTTGCAGTATTCTTTTCACCATGATCCACTATGATAAGGTTTTATACTTTACAGGTGCTATTCTGGTCAGCAATTGTCCGGATGTGGTGTGATTTTGTAAGTCTAGTATGACTTTGAGACTTGCTTTTCCTCCTCTATACTTTGGTTTTATTTTCCCTTTCTCTCCTTATTTCTTTATTTTAAACAAAAAATTGAAGTTCTCTCTCATGATCATGTGGAGACCCTATGTTGCCGTATTCGTGTGGTTTACATGTCGTGTTATTCGTATCGTGTTTATTTTGAGGCTCACAAAAAAAAAATTATTGAGTGTGTTATGAGTATTAAACACTAGTTTAAACTATTTATTATACGTATTTAATAATCGTTCATGTCGAGTTCGTATTAATAGGTCAATAAGTTTGTCAATAAATCAAATTTTGATTTGAATTCGATCTAAACTCGAATCTGAGTAGTTGAATATGGGTTGATATTTTTTATCGACTATACAAATTCGAGTCCGGATTTAATATCTTATTTTTCACGGATTCAAATTTGGATACATTTATATTAAATTCGATTAAAAATATTTATTTATTTTTGTATAAATATTAAATAAATTAAATGATTATTTAAAGAAATTTAGTTAAAATTTAGATGCAAATTGTTAAATTTTAGTTAAATTAGTTATTCGGGACGAATCGGATTTTAGATGGTTACCAGATTTGGATATGAACTACGAAAATAGGATTCCTCGGATTATCAGATCGGACTTTCAAAGTTAAATTCGGATTCAGATTCAACTCAATTAAAATCTAATCCAAACTCGATCAGTTGGTCCTCCCCCACCTTTCAAGCCTAATTTCCCCCGCTCCACCTATCTGCAATATGTTCAACACGGATTGAGGGTCAGAGATGTTCCTTGAGGATAATTTAGCAAGGAAACATGGATTGAGTATGTTTAATTCTGCACACACTACCATTCCCTATTCTGCTAGGTCTACAAGTTATATAACCAGAGAGGACTTGTCACCAGAAAGGTTTCAAAAACGGGGTACAGAAGCATATCACTATTGACTTAATAATGGCTAGCTAGAAATATTCACCAAATTCCCCATCACTGGATAAGAATGTTAAGCATTATTTCTTACCGGTACATTTTACCTGAAATGAAATATATTTTAGAAACTTTAGATCCTTTATAGTACATTTTTAAGCACAATAAATATCCTTATTTAGCACACGAATCTCTCGTTACTCATGTTTTGAGAAGAGTCACATGTATAATAATATTTCGCTTGGAGAAGCAGTTTTTGTGGTGGTGCATTTATTTTGTTTTAATGAGTCTTTGTACTCCCTCGATTCTCAACTCATTTGCATCTTTTTTTCCTAGCAGGAGTTGACACTTTGGAGGAAGGGACAACTGTTGGTGGCCAGAGCAGGAGATGCGTTCCAGCATTTCAAGGACTGCTTAGTTACAGCTCCTAAGTCAATTTTTTAAATTTGTATAGCATTGCTCATTACTTATTTTTTCTATTGTTTGTATTGTGCATAACCCCTCTCAACTCGGAGTGACAAGAAACTCATGCATGTTTCTCTTTTTAATATATACATATATATATATATATATATATATATATATATCATGTAATTATTTGATAATTGCTGCTGGTAAAAAATCTGCTACGCTCTACACTTGTATGATTTTTCATTAATGAATTGGAATGTGTTGAGTTCAAGTTGTAACAGGGACAACCAGTAAATACAGATGTCTTGAGTTCGAATTTTGACAATTCTTTAGATTCGAGCCATGAGAATCTTGACAATTCTTTAGATTCGAGCCATGAGAGATTATCTCTCATGAATACCTTAGTCTCGGTGTGAAGGACTTGCTTTTAACCAGATTGGGGAAGGGATTAATTGATATGCACATAAATTGATCCGAATAGTTTTGACTGAAGAAAAAAAATGGAATTTGCTGACATACAGTAGGAATCTGTTGCCGAGTAGTCATGACATCAGCCAATTTGGTTTTTCAGGATGAGAAAATTCGCATAAACTTCCTCTTTTTAAGAATCTCTTGCAATTTTCAAGAGTGGGGGGTGTTCAGGAACCTCATTCCCATACGAATCATTGGAGCAGCATGAAATTTGCAGAAGAAAATGCTTGAGCAGCTTGAAATTTGCAAAAGAAAATATAGAATCTCTCTAGGGGCAGTGGATGGAGCATATATTGGCCAAACTAGCTAGATTCTCTTGAGATAGGTTCATCAAAATGAAGTGGGTAATAAGTGGATCCCACCAATTCACAGTGACAAAACTGATTATTGACAAAAATTAGGTGGAAATACATTGGAAAGAATTTAACTTTCTTACAAAACAAGTGCGATATATGAGCTTTAATGATAGTTCTACGGGGGAAAACCTCGTACCTTTGATCGGATGGTTATGGGATTTGAAATGGATTCAGAAAACAAACGAGCACACAAAAACAGGAGCTTCGAACAGCGTCTCTCTTGAGCCAACTTTTTTTTTAAAAAAAATTTTTTTTTGGGGGGAGGGGGGAGAGGGGAAAGGGAGACTTGAATCTTAGACCTTAAAAAAGCAAAACTTTCACGGTACCATTGAACTAAAGACCCATTATATTTTGTGAATATGATTGAATTAGGCCCCAATATACCAAAAATGGGCCAAATGTCTGATTCTCACCCAAAGCCCAATACAAAGTCCCTAGGAATCTCTTAGAATACAATTATGCATGCCACCATTCTCCAGCTTCGTACTCTGTCTCAATATAAATTATTGGATTCGTGGGCCCTACCCAATGGGTGTGATTATGCCACTTCATATGACGAAAACAAAATGGTACACAAAGATAGTGTGCATACCGTTATTGCTCAAAAAAAACAAAATTACAAGCTAAATAAACCCCACTAAAGAACTTAAAGATGTAAATTTTGGCTAATTTATTAAATAAATTAATCTCAAGTTGAATTTGAATAACCGATTCGTATTAGAACCATCCTCCTCTCGGCCCAAAAATTGGGGCTATTGGACATGGACGGTGTCACTCATGAGGCCATAACGCTCTGTGGTGGGGCTTGAATTAGGGCCCAGTTTTAGTCATGTATAAAATTGGGCAAAATGCTTTGTCTCTCACTCAAAAGTCCAATAAACCAAGACGAAAATGTTGTTTCCAAACATATTTTTAAGTAGACCAAAATAAATAAATTCATTGTTTTGAAGTGTTTTTAATTATTTTAAGAAATTTTTATATATTTTCACTAATATTTTGAAATATTTTGAGGTGTTTTATAATAATACTCCAGTATAGTTTAATCAATATTTTAAATATTTAAAAATAAATTTAATAATTTGTTACTCATTTTATTACATTTTTGAATATATTTATAAAATATTTTTTTTAGTGACCGAAATAAAATATTAAAACAATTTTCATCCTTCAATAAATGTCCTATACAATTTCGAAAAACAAAAAATAAAAATAAAAATTGCAAGCTCAATGGACCCCACTAATCAACCAACCACGTAACTGGTAGCAGCCTTTTCTTTTTCGGTCAAGAGTGCCAACAACCAAGTGAAGAACGTACGGCAGCAGACGACGTTCTGGTAGAAAATTCACATTTTAACACATTCACGTCCATTTCCGATCCAAACCTTTCACTGTCAAAATACTATTATAAAAATGCTCTTCTCCTCATAAAACGGCAGTCCCTGCAACAAAGAAGCAGAGAAGAAGGAGATTCGCTCCACTCATCAAAACTGCATCGTTTCTCCTTCTTCCCCCAAAAACCCTAATTCCCACCGGTCAAACCCAACAAAAAAAACCAAATGGCTTCACAAAAGCAAAAAAACGAAAAAACCATTCCTCCATACGTGAAAGCAATCGCGGGCTCATTCGGAGGGACAATGGAGGCGTGTTGCTTACAACCCATTGATGTCATCAAGACCAGGCTCCAGCTCGACCGGTCCGGTTCGTACAAGGGAATTATCCACTGCGGCATGACGGTGTGCCGTACGGAAGGCGTGAGGGCCCTTTGGAAGGGTTTGACTCCGTTCGCGACGCATTTGACCTTGAAGTATGCGCTTCGGATGGGTTCCAATGCTGTGCTTCAATCGGCGTTTAAGGATTCGAACACTGGGAATTTGAGTCCTTATGGGAGGGTTTTTTCTGGGTTCGGTGCGGGCGTGCTTGAAGCTCTCGTTATTGTCACGCCATTTGAGGTGAGCGAAATAAATTGTAATTAACTTTGAAATTTGATGTTAATGGTTGATTTGCATTTCCAATTTTTATTTTTTTTTGTCACTTTTGCATTTCTAGTTTACATTGTTAGACGTTTATTCTCTTCACAAGTGGATGGTTTTTTACATCCTAAAGCTAGTAAATCACAATGTGTTTCCTATTGTCGAACATCCTCTTCCCTTTGGAATGTTAGCTGGATCGTGAGTAGTTTTGGTATTTGAGATGGTACGGATACATGGGACTATAATTTATTAGGCACGCAGTATGATAAGGGTCGGCTTAATAAATTAATTAATTAAATTACAATTATTTTAAAACTCTTATCTGGATCGTTTTCACAATTATATAATATTTATATAATAAAGTATAATATAATTTAAATTTTAAAAGATAAATAAAATAATTTTTGTTAGTTGCAGTTGAGATCTCTGTAAATTTTACTTTAAACTTAATCCATTCAACGGTTAATATAAACACTCTAAATTTAATAGGAAAAATAGGTTCTTAAAAGTGTGTTTGGAGTCACTTTTTAAAAGTATTTCTAGAACTTAAACTTCTCATAAATATATATATTTTTTTAAAAGTAGTGTTTGGAGTCGCATCACCACCACCCCCACCCCCACCATCATCACCCAACCACCACCAACAACACCACCGCTATTGTCACCCTACCAACACCATCATCACTGTTGCCTCCACCCTTCCATAACCACCATCCTCATTGCCCCAGCACCATCGCCCCACCATAATCATCACCACTACCACCGTTGCCACACCTTATCACGACCGCCATTGTCCTACCTTCACCTTTGCCATCACCATTCCCACAGCCTACGACCATCACCATCGTCGCCACCCCACCACCACCCCCGCTGCTTGACCACCACCCTCATTATTGCCACTGCCCTACCTCCTCCCCCACCCCCACCCCCACCCCCACCCCCACCACCAACATCACTCACCACCATTGTTATCTTATTATTATATTTATTATCATTACCATTATCATCCAACTACCACCGTCGCCCACCTTCAACACCCATCACCACCATTGTTGCCTACCGTCACCCACCATCATCTATCGTCGCCCACCATTGCCGTCAGCCACTATCACCTACCCCCACCACACCTACCATCATCACTTGTCATTGTCCACCACTACTGTCACCTACCCCCATCACACCTACCATCACCACCACTACCACCGCCATTCACCACCGCCCATTACATTGTCGCCTAGAAGCACTCGTCGTCGCCCACCACTACAACCCATCACCGCCACCGCCACTGTCACCCACCATTACCATCGCCCACCACCACTACTGCCACTACCACCATCGTCACCTAAAACCCACCACTACTATTACTGTTGCCACCTCCACTACAGTCGTCGCCATCCACCACAATCATCACTGTATTCCACCACCACTAGTGCCGCCCACAACCATTACCATCGCTCACCCCCATTGCAATCGGTGTTCAAATTTCTTTCTCTATCCTTTATGCTTGTGATTTAATTTTGAGTATGAATACAAATATGTTTATTGTTAACAATTTTTTTTATTACTCCGTGCCTTTAGACACGGGCAATAACTAATATTTTATATCATAGAATATCCATAAACACTAAATCAGTTATCATTTATCTTACATTTGTGCTTGATTTTTTATTATCTAAAATAATATATAATTATAAATTCATATATACGCAGTTAATTAATATGCATTTTATATTTGTGCTATATGTACAATTTGAGATTGTACATTTTGGTAATCTAGATCGCGAATGCCACCCGTTTGGAATAAATGTACTCAGATCGTGGGTCGTCAGGAGTTTAGTGAATCTAGTAACTATGTGTCTACAGTCCAAGCTTGTAATGATTCAGAATTGAATAAATCCTCCCACACCAATTCGTGTGTTGATGCTCTCATTATATAGAGTAAATTGATTACATGGGAAGTTTCCATATCCTATAATATCAGCTATAGTGTTGGATACAAACTACAACACTTTGGGAACCTATAGTTTCAGTGAGGAGTCTAGCTCAGGTTGTTTGTTTGCTGCATCACATTCATGTTTTGGTTTATCTGTTTCATGAGGATTAGGATTATCCTTTACACACCCCTACAAGTTCAACGTGGAGTCCACATTGAGCTTGGACTTTAGCGTAGCAAATCGTGTAGAAACAAGCGGCTTTGTGAAAATGTTAGCGATTTGGTCCTTAGTTGAGAAAAAACCGAACTTGGAGATCGTGAAGAGCAACTTGCTCTCATCCCACTACCTTTTCTTCCTTCATCTTCTCCCGAATTTGCTCCTACACCCTACCCCGACTATGAAGTCTGGTGTCTCCAAGATCAATTGCTCTTGAGCACTCTTGTCTCCTCCCTATCTGAGAGCATCATGCCTCATATTGTTGGTATTCCAATATTGAGAGAACTTTGAATGACCCTTGAAGACATGTTCTTGTCCCACGCAAACTCGCGGATTGTACAGCTCCACTTGCAACTCTCTACCATGAAGAAAGAGACCATGTCAATTGCAGATTACTATCAGAAGGTGAAGATTGCTACAGATACTCTTGCTGCTATCGGCCAGCCCCTCCAAGACTCTAAAACTGTCTCTTACTTACTCGTTGGTCTGGATGCGACCTATATAAAATAAATTGAATGCATGGGAAGTTTCCAGATCATATAATATCGGCTATAGTGTTGGATACAGACTACAACACTTTGGGATCCTATAGTTTCAGTGAGGAGTCTTGCTTGGGTTGTTTGTCTGCTACATCACGTTCACATTTTACTTTATCTGTTGCATGAGGATTAGGATTATCCTTTACACGAGCTAGACTCCTCACCGATTCTCTTCGGTTATTCCGCTCCCATTAACCTCTGTAGGTGACCTTCATCTCCTACCCGTGTCCTCTCCTCTCTCGAAAACACATCACTGGTGTCTCCCCCTCCTAGCTCAGGTTGTTTGCTGTTGTATCACATTCACGTTTTGCTTTATCTGTTTCATGAAAGATTAGCATTATCCTTTACAAAGCTTATGATGTCTTGTAACAACAATTTCTGCTCCTTGTTTTCTTTTCGGATAAGTAATCCTGCTTCTTGTCATCAATAATGTAGTCCATGGTTTGCTTGATGCGATCTTCAAGTTACTTCTTGATGCTAATGCATCAAGGACTGGTTTTATTGATTTTATGGTGGCAATCGATGACACTCGTGACGGCCATAGTCTAATATTATTGGTTATCATATTGAAGCATCACTCTACCATTACTGTTCCAAAGTCTCTGAAACCAATCTAGAATGCCTTGATCTGTTTTTCTTTGTGACTGTTCATTCCACAGTTTTCATCATTCATTGCTCCAAAGATACTGCTATGATTCCTATCAAAACAAGATAGTGCTATGACACACATTCGCCAAATCACAAAAAAAATTGCACTTTACTTTTGCAAGGGTCATGCACACTTATATGCCAAGAGACAATGATCAACTGTCTTTGAAGGTATACAACAAGATCCTAACTCTTATGTATCCCAAACCATTAGGAATGGATATAATCAGAAGTTGACTGCAGACTGCTTTGAAAAAAAAAGTAGAAAATAATTGTGGTTTCCTTTGGTAACAAACACCTTCCCATGGAATTTTTAGAGTCCTAGACACTGTTGCTCAGAAATTTGCAAAGTTGCAGCACAAGGATGAGACATTACTCAATAAATTTGATAGTAATTTCGTACTGATAAAAATAAGGTGATCATGAGGTTTTGAAAGGGTAATATGTTGTCGGGTTAACTGTGCTTCTTTGTTTGGTATGATCCGTTGTCTATCTGCATTCAAAGTTTTATTATGTTGTTTGAAAAGCGCATATATTTTGAGAAAGGTTAAGTTGAAATTTTATTTTGTCCACTGTGGATTATATTCAGGTTTTGGCAGTTTTCTGCCATCTCTGCTTTACACAGTGTTTCTAACATCAACTTCTTTACAAATTTTAAACTGTGAATTAGTTGGAACTACTTAAAAGGTTGGCCAAACTTCCATTAATGCAGGTGGTAAAAATTAGACTGCAGCAGCAGAGAGGATTGAGCCCTGAGCTTTTAAAGTATAAGGGTCCTATACATTGTGCTCGACTGATCATCCATGAAGAAGGCATCCTTGGTCTCTGGTCAGGGGCTGCCCCAACTGTCATGCGGAATGGTATAAACCAGGCTGCCATGTTTACAGCCAAGAACTTTTTTGATGGGATCTTGTGGAAAAAACATGACGGTGATGGGAAGGTACTCCAACCATGGCAGTCTATGATATCTGGATTTCTTGCGGGAACTGCTGGGCCTTGTTGTACTGGTCCATTTGATGTTGTAAAAACAAGGCTGATGGCTCAAAGCCGGTCTGGGGGTGAGTTGAAGTACCGAGGTATGTTTCATGCTATCTCAACAATTTATACAGAGGAAGGGCTACTTGCTTTGTGGAAGGGACTGCTGCCCCGGCTGATGAGGATCCCACCTGGCCAGGCCATAATGTGGGCAGTGGCTGACCAGGTGACTGGCTTTTACGAGAGAAGATATATACAGAGGGCACCCTCATAGACGCCCTCCATATTGTTTTTTACTTTTTCTATCTCGAGCATGAAGTCACATGAGTTTTTTGAGTGCCTCTTCACTTCTTTTGGCTTCCCTAAAACTATTGTGGGAATTACTGATAATTTTTTTATTCCTGTTTTGTTTCATACTGCCATTAAAATGGCTGCTGAAACCCACATTTGCTGTTGCCCTGGACCTCTTAGATCTTATTTGGGTGGTGCGTAGACAGAGCGCTCTAACGAAGAAACTTTCATCAGCAGAGTTGAGCGTTTGTATGAGGACAGATAGGTTGAGCTGTAATAGGAAGCACTAGGAACCATTTTATTTCAAGAACATTTGTTGAACTTTCATAATTGTCAGCTGTAGTAGTTTGTGGCTCTAATAGATATGCTCTTTGCCTCATCAGGAACGCAAATTTTGTTTTCTCATTTGGCATTTTTATCAGTCTCTGGGTTGTTTGGGTTTCTAAGTCATGTTAATAAAAACCCAAAGACATTTGCTTTCATTTGTTTTGGTCCCAGCTTGTTGAGTGACTATGTTTTTTTCTTTTTTGGATGAGGGGGAAATTCCTAGCTTGTTTTCGGAGAGAGAGAAGCGACTTAATCAATCAGGCTAAGTAGAATCTATGGCAAACTCCGGGTGCATGAACCGGTCTTTCAACTTATACATCAATTAAATCAGAACTTGCACTTTACTGGAGATTCGAATCTATACTAGAAATTTGGATACAATTCGTCCAAACAACTAAGGTCCGTCCCCTCAACTAACCATGTTTTTATCATCAAGAAGATTATGTTAATGTCGTATAGAACCCATGGTGGTGAAACATTTTAAGTTGAAATAGATGAGTAGAACTGAACTCTAATATTTCACAAATGACATCTTTGTTGGGGAATGCTTGTGGCCGATTCAGGGTTTTGTTGTTGCTGTGGGTGCTTCTGTTTTTCATTAGTGTGAAATTGGTTTTACTGATTGTACACAAGATTGAGTCCAGATTACAAGTCTCTTATCGCTTGGTTTCTTTTCTCTTATTGCAAGCCTTCCCTCGCTTGTGCAAATTGTAGCTTTTTAATTTTTGTTTTGGTTTAACAGTTAGGGGTGTTCAGATCAGTTTACGCGCACCTCGAATAATTCTCTTATTAGTCCGATCAAATGCAAGTAATTCACGCTGGGATTAAAGTATTCATGATGAATAAATTTTTCATGATCTGGTCATAAGGAGTTGTCAAAATTTGAACTTGAAATATCTGAATTTACAACTTATCTTTATTATCACTTGAATTATCATTTGGTGGTCTCCCCATATAATGAACTTATTGTATTCTGCAGACAATGCCATTGAAACATCCCTACCTATGCTTATTTTTTGGACTGCCCCATCCAACAGACAGGTTACGGAGGTTCATGGCGATTAAATGTGGAACTGGTTCCCCCTTAGCCTTGCCTATTTACTCCAACAAGGTCGTTTCAAAAGACTTCTTCAATGTAATCATGAAATGTGGGAAAAGGATGGACAAATAAACTCTGAAAATGGTTGTTCTTTGAACTGAAAAAGTTTATCAATCACCTCTTTGGTAACCTTTTCTTTCTATTACTCACTAAAAAAAAAAAAAATCCATTTTCTTTCTGATAGTGATGTGGAGGTGGCCCTGGTGGTGAGATAAAGGCAGTGTATGTTGAAGGTTGTGAATGGGTGAGGGATCCATTATTGATGAGTGCTGGATTTGTTTATGAGTTTTGTTATATGGACTTAAAAAGTAGACTTGATAATCTCAATCATTGAATAGGTAGTGGGTCCCAATAAATGTTGAAATTCAAAGTAAAATTAATAGTTGAGATTATCAAGTCTACTTTTTAAGTCTATGTAGCATTACTCTTTATTTATATATAATGAATTTATCGTCCCCCACCCCCTCCACAAAAAAAATTAAATATATATATATATATATAGAGAGAGAGAGAATTTAGTATTGTATTGCATTCAATTGTTCCATTGTCTCGCGGCTAATTTCAATTATTGGAAAACTATATATAAATAATTTGTATTTTTTTAGAAAAATAAAATTAATTTCAAAACATTGCCAACCCTAAGGACAAGACGATACCTAAAGATGGATAAGATCTTGTCGCCCCACTTCCTTACCCAAAACAAGAGATAAGATCTTCTACTAAAGTGATTTCGGATAAATATATTTCATAATTAAAAAAAAAAAGTTGATTATTCTCAATCCACAAATAACATTTTGCATCACATTTAACTCCTAAACTTGAAATTGGATCCCATCTATATTTACCCCAGTGACTAAGTCTATTCTATTAAGGAGCAGAGTCAGAAATTTGTTACAGAGTAGACACACTTAATCAACAAAATTTATTTTTTTCTTCAATCAATAGAAGTATTGTGGTACATGTTTTTTTTAAAAAAAAATTATTTTGCATATTTAAAGATTCATTAAATATAAAAGGATCAAACGCCAATATACATAGTTTATGCAAATAATACTCAATAAAAAGAGACTAATTATAACCTTTTTCAAAAAATGAGGCTAATTATAACCATGTAATGTAGATTTTGATAACTTTTCATACTTCGAAAGAATTGTTTGATAACGTTATTAATAATGTTATCGAAAATGTCTTTCTCTATATAAGTAATTAAGTTAATAATAATCGNAATTGTTTGATAACGTTATTAATAATGTTATCGAAAATGTCTTTCTCTATATAAGTAATTAAGTTAATAATAATCGATTTTTAAGCTAAGTTGCATCAATTTTGAAAATTTATAGTAATTTCAATCAATTATGAATAATATAAGATTGAGAATTATCGAAAAAATAGGTTCAATCACTAGTCGTAACTTTTTAACATATTTTTCACATTTTTTTGAGTGAAAAGTGTGCCCGAATAATTTTTTGCACAAGATTTAGTTGGTCTAAAATTATTAGAGTGGTCAAATATTTTTGGTTTTTGGTCATGAGGTTAGGCCTAATTTCAATTACATAAACAAAATATCATAAATATACAAAAGTGAAATTTTTAATTTTTTTTTTCTGTCCTTGACCCAATCTATACTCATCTATTAATAGCTAAGTCTATCTCATTTTCTCATCGCCTATTATACTTTCTAACCATGAACTATTTCTTCTTTCCATAGAATTTTCTTGCTATCCAATCTCGCGCATTTGTGCTGTCTATTCATATTTTTAATTTTATTACTTTTTCTCTTTATTTTTTACTTACGTNCGCGCATTTGTGCTGTCTATTCATATTTTTAATTTTATTACTTTTTCTCTTTATTTTTTACTTACGTTATTACATTATTATTGAATATTATATAAATATTACTACTCGCGTTTGTGATGTGGGTGAAACTTAAACGGGTTAACTCGAATTTAACCCAAAATACTCAATATTTAGATAATATTTTTAGTTCTCAAACATCTGAAAATTTTCCATCGTCAATTTCTCAAGTGAAAATATGGTAATCTTAATTTTAATTTAAATAGATTGTTTCATATATACGAATTATATTTTAGGTGTTTAATGTGCATTGCTAAATAATAAATTTTTATTCTTATATTTGTTTTGTTTAATATTTATTACGAATATTTTAGATGTATAATATTATGTTTGTATATAGGTGAGTATTAATAATTTGAAGTAAGAAAGTTAAAGAGATGGAAAAAGATATTTAAGAGGAGGAAAAAACATAAAAGAAAAAAAATTATGCACTCGAAAAATAAAGAAACACACATTTGAAATACATAAAAGGGAAAATCTNAATTTGAAGTAAGAAAGTTAAAGAGATGGAAAAAGATATTTAAGAGGAGGAAAAAACATAAAAGAAAAAAAATTATGCACTCGAAAAATAAAGAAACACACATTTGAAATACATAAAAGGGAAAATCTCATTTTGCCTCTTGAATGATTGTCTGTCTGTTTTATACTAAATAAATAAATTAGAGATCACAAAACAATAAAAGGACGGAATGAAAATAAGACGGTGNCTCATTTTGCCTCTTGAATGATTGTCTGTCTGTTTTATACTAAATAAATAAATTAGGGATCACAAAACAACAAAAGGACGGAATGAAAATAAGACGGAGAATTACATTGAAATATTTTTATTTCTTTGAGAGGTGAGAAAATTAATTATTTAATGAATAAAATTTAAAATTTTTGTATCTTTAAAGTACAAAATGAAATTTACACAATAATAAAATTGGGAGTAAATAAATAAGATACACCGNAATTAATTATTTAATGAATAAAATTTAAAATTTTTGTATCTTTAAAGTACAAAATGGAATTTACACAATAATAAAATTGGGAGTAAATAAATAGGATACACTGAGTCGCAAAGCCCTAACACGGAGTCTCACGCCAATCCTCTATATAAGGCACACGCTGCCGACCTCAACTCAAACCCTAGCTCCTGTTAGCCACCCCCTCTTTCTTATACAGACACAAGCAGTACGCGAGTACTCCTTTCGCTTGTCTTCTTTGTTTTTTGGTGGTATGTTTTGCTTTGATTTGTTCAAATTCATCATTTTCTTGAACTGATTCGATGAAAATGACTTGCTTTCTTGTTTCTTTTTTGGTGCTTTGCTATTGAAATTCTCAGTTTTGAGGATTGTTAAAGCTTCAGAACGATGTCGGATGATGAAAGGGAAGAGAAGGAGTTGGATCTCTCCTCTCCTGAAGTTGTCACCAAATACAAGAGCGCTGCTGAGATCCTTAACAGTTGCTTTCTCTCTCTCTCTTTCTCTCTATGATATATTGATGTGTGTGTATATACATAGAGAGCTATCGTTAACAGTTACTCTCCCTATATATGTGTGTGTGTGTTTCTTGGTATACGTAGCTTAAAGCTGTGTTAATTGGGGCCAATTGAAAACGAGTAAGTGAATTGAAGTAGCAGTTTCTCGTTATATACGTAGATATTAATGTTGATTCATGGAGTGAAAAGCGGAGAAAATGAATTGAACTGATTGATTGGTTGCTGTGGATATCATTTGCTTTGTTTTGTTCTACGTGAATTCATGTATACGCATGGTGCACTCTCACACACACGCACACTCACATATTTGTTAACTGAGATGTATAGCTTTTTTCTTTTTTAGTGAGACAGTTTGTGAAGGTTCTGAAACTTGTTAAAATATGCAGAGGCTTTGCAGTTAGTATTGTCAAAATGCAAACCAAAAGCTAAGATAGTTGACCTATGTGAGAAAGGCGATTCATTTATCAGAGAGTAAGCTTTTTGAATCTGTCCTGTTGATTTTTATGCTGTGTTTATTATGCTGCTTGTTGGTACTAAATGGTTGTACCTGTCTGCAATTTTTAGTCAAACCGCCAATATGTACAAGAATGTTAAGAAGAAGATTGAAAGAGGTGTTGCATTCCCGACCTGCATTTCTGTAAATAACACTGTGTGCCATTTCTCTCCCCTGGCCAGTGACGAGACTCTGTTGGAAGGAGGAGACTTGTTGAAAATGTAAGTTTCGTTCAACCTATACATATTTTTATAGCTTGTTTCGAGCTTAATATTGAATGGATTGTGAAAATGACACAATGATGGATCTTTGTCTGGATGCAGTGATATGGGATGCCATATAGATGGGTTCATCGCCGTAGTTGCACATACTCATGTGCTTCAGGAAGGGCCGGTGACTGGCAGAGCAGCTGATGTTATTGCTGCTGCTAATACAGCTGCCGAAGTTGCTTTGAGGCTTGTCAGGCCAGGAAAAAAGGTAATATATTCCATATAATAGGTTTTACATTGGGTCTTCCCTATTACAATGCTTTTGTAGTCTATGTTGAATGTTCAGTTTGTTGCTCTGATATGGAACAATTGAATCTGTTATGACTTTGAAGTCCCTGGCTAGCTTTTATCATTTTTTGACCTGTTGTGCAATATTTCAGCTAAAGATTTGCATCATACTGTCTCTCTTTCACATATCAATCACCTGCTCTGTAAATATTTACGCATTTTGACTTAAATTATGTTGTTGGTGTCCATAATCGATATAAGATGATTAGGAGCTTGGGGGCCAGTCATGTTTGTGCCGCTTTGGTCAATGTTCTGGGAGCAGTGATGACAATGTACATTTGCATTATGGGTTTTGCTTTTTCTTTGTATCTTCTTTTCTTTAAATGGGTTGACATTATGTCATTCTTCCTTTGTGTTATGTTTTCTCTCTGAAACATGTGGAAGGGACATTATTTCTTCAAATAGATAAGTTATTACAATGTCAGGAGCAAGATTCCAGTGAAACTTTGGTGCTAATATGGCTTCATGTAGTGCATGTGTAGGAGTTTGCTGAGGTGACACACTGAACGTTTGGCATGTTGTTGTCTTATGTTGTTTTGATCTGTTTATTCCAATCATGATATTCATGATGCTCATGGTCTGAAGGATCCTTTTATGTTTCGTTTTTTGTTTGAGTGCGAGTGCAGATTTTGTTAGTATTAAAGTCTTGCCCTTTTTTTTTTTTTTGAGTTGCCAAGTATNTGTTTCGTTTTTTGTTTGAGTGCGAGTGCAGATTTTGTTAGTATTAAAGTCTTGCCTTTTTTTTTTTTTGAGTTGCCAAGTAAAATTTATATAGTGTTTATGTGATATATATAAATGGTTTTTGGAATTTTTCCCCCTAAATGATGAATAATTGGTATAAGCTATGGACTAACATCCAGATGAAGCATTTGTCATAGTTACTCTGATAGGGGATGTCAGTTTCTTGTAACCTAATTTGATTGAATCTTATTTGATGTCCAAGTCGAGTGAATGGTTGTCATGGGTGGTCACATGTTTGTGTTATATTAATATATCAGATCTGATGTACACTCTATCAATTGTTGATTGGCATGAGATAGAGTCAATCATCAATTAAAAGAACTGATCAGAATTATGAGGCCTATTAGTATCTTATGGCCTATGAAAAATGTAATGTCTGTAGGAATTTAAATTATGTGAAAAGGCAACTTTGCCGAGGTGATCAAATTGCTTGTTGATTTCCTCTTTTCCCTGTTGCCTATATTTTACATGGCTGTATTTGGGGTGCTTCCGGTTGATCTGTACTTGATGGATTGTACCACTTGTCTATTGAAGCTAAAATTTTTCTAACGAAGAAGATATACTTGTATGGGTTTTAAAACTACACTGGCTTGCCTCAATTTGATTGGAACTCACTTCCAATGGTGGAAATATTCTCTTCTCGTTTTTGGCCTTTGTTTTTGTCCTTAATGGTATTAATCCACTAATTTGTTTTTTTCCTCTCGTGTAAAGTTGCTGATTTGCATCTGCTATGTTGGATCTTTGAGTTCCATAATTGGAAAACATATACACCTTTTATTAAAAAAATGCAGATTACATGTGTGCTTAACTGTAAACATGATGTCTCTACATGATGAAAATAGTCATTGGCCTATGGAGTNATTTGTTTTTTTCCTCTCGTGTAAAGTTGCTGATTTGCATCTGCTATGTTGGATCTTTGAGTTCCATAATTGGAAAACATATACACCTTTAATTAAAAAAATGCAGATTACATGTGTGCTTAACTGTAAACATGATGTCTCTACATGATGAAAATAGTCATTGGCCTATGGAGTTATTTCCAGTGAAGCCTTATGTAGTCATAGTTACACTGATGGAGCATCATAGTTCTTTTGTTTGTTTCTTCTTTTTATCTATCTTTTTCCCCTCTTTTGAAATGGTTAACCTTTTTTTTTCCCCGTTGAATTTAATAAATAATTACTCACAGATTATGCAGTGTGATTGTGTGTTATAGTCAAGTAGTTTTTTATTCTTGCCATTTTCAGTTACTGTTATTCATGTCAGATAGGTGGCTGGTCATATCTTGAAAAAAGAATGCTTACCCTTTTTGTGGTGTTCTTTTAATTAAGTAAAGAGAAAATGCCCATTTTATTATGAATCCATCTCGTAATGTTTTTTGGCATTTGTTGTTTTTCTTTCATGGACGGTTGTGCGGCTTGTGCCCAACAATTTGATGCCTCTAAGTGATAAATATGTGTCAGATGCTGTGGAAGGATATTCCAAGTGATGTGGTTGTAGTTATTCTTATAGAAAGAAAATGTATTTTTTCCCCCAAATATTTAGGGAATTGGTCATGTTCTGCTGCTTTTGTTTGTATTTTGTAATATCTTTTTGCTTGTTCTATTACCAAGGCATATATTGTCAGAAGATTGTTGAGTTCTTTGCAACCAAAATCTATCTGTCTGGTTGTCTGTATTCTGTAATGTGGCAGGGTCTCTCTGTACATGCTTTTGTATGGAATGCAATGCATAAATAGAAAAAGAATAAATGCTTTCTGTGCTCATATAGATTCGAGGCAACTTTGCCGAGGTGACTAATTTCTTTATGGGTTTCCTCTTTTCCCTGTTGCCTATATTGTAATCAGCTACTTGATTTATGTTGGAACCAATTTATTTCATGCTGGTTCACATTTGTGTAGCTTACATGTTCTTTTTTCTCTGTTCTATCCAGTAAATTTGTCCTACTGTGTTTCTAGGTTTAGTGCTCTCTCTCAGCTCTACTCTCTCATATAGTAAATGGTTTCTGTGCTCATATAGATTCGAGGCGACTTTGCCGAGGTGACCAATTTTCATATGGGTTTCCTCTTTTCCCTGTTGCCTATATTGTAATCAGCTACTTCATTAATGTTTGGAACCAATTTATTTCTTGCTGGTTCACATTTGTGTAGCTTACATATTCTTTTTTCTCTGTTCTATCTAGTAAATTTGTCCCATTGTGTTTCTAGGTTTAGTGCTCTCTCTCTCAGCTCTTCTTTCTCATATAGTAAATGGTTTCTGTGCTCATATAGATTCAAGGCAACTTTGCCGAGGTGACCAATTTCCGAATGGGTTTCCTCTTTTCCCTGTTGCCTATATTGTAATCAGCTACTTCATGAATGTTTGGGACCAATTTATTTTTTGCTGGTTCACATTTGTGTAGCTTACATGTTCTTTTTTCTCTGTTTTATCTAGTAAATTTGTCCCATTGTGTTTCTAGGTTTAGTTCTCAGATCTACTTTCTCAGATTTTAGGACATAAGTCCAGTGGCAAGATGAGGTGTTATTAGGATGAGAGGAAAGCCCTAATGACTCTTTTTTGGGGGTGTGAGGACACAGAAGAATCATTTTTTTCCCGAAACTGGCTCTATAGCCGCTTTATGTACTTGGTAGATCATTACTGCCTTGCACTACCTAGTGGTAAATGTATTATTGGTAAATAATGTGGCCAGAATATTAATTTACTGGTAAGCATACTAATGAACGAAATAGACCATTGTGATTTGATCCTATGCTTGGTTTTGTTCACTGAGTGTCTTTATTTGTGACAGAACAAAGATGTAACGGAAGCTATTCAAAAGGTTGCTGCTGCCTTTGACTGCAAAATTGTTGAAGGTGTTCTTAGCCACCAGCTGAAACAGTTTGTGATTGATGGCAACAAGGTTGTACTCAGTGTCTCAAGTCCTGATACAAGGGTTGATGATGCGGAATTTGAGGAGAATGAAGTTTACGCAATTGATATTGTCACAAGTACAGGCGAAGGCAAGGTAATTATGGGGCTTATGCAAACCCAAATATTAATTTTGTGCACCCTTTTACATTTTGGTCCTTAGATTTTGATGTCAAATTTGCAGCCTAGGCTGTTGGATGAGAAGCAAACTACTGTTTATAAAAGAGCTGTTGACAAGAATTATCACTTGAAGATGAAAGCATCTAGGTTCATTTTCAGTGAGATAAGTCAGAAATTTCCAATCATGCCATTTGCAGCAAGGTTTGTTAACTGTTTGGCATGTGAAGGTGTAAGTACATGATTATGGCCCTTCTGCTTGTTTCCTTATGTTTTGTGTGGGCACACAACAGGGCTTTGGAAGAGAAGCGGGCTCGGCTGGGACTAGTAGAATGTGTTAATCATGACCTTTTGCAGCCGTATCCTGTTCTTCATGAGAAGCCTGGTATGTATTTTCTGGCAGGATTGAGATTACTGATTGTTTTCTACAATCATCGAGTCTGTTTATTGGTGGAATTGGTGATTATGTATTTTCTGTACTGACATTCAAATTTTGCTTTGTTGGTTGAACAGGTGATTATGTGGCTCATATCAAATTCACGGTTTTGCTAATGCCTAATGGGTCAGATCGCATCACATCCCATCCTCTGCAGGAGCTGCAACTGACTAAATCTGTAGATGACCCTGAGATCAAAGCCTGGTTAGCCTTGGGAACAAAGTCAAAGAAGAAGGGTGGTGGTAAGAAGAAGAAAGGTGAGTGGGCAAGAAACAAAAGAGATGAACATTGATCCTCTCATTTAGAAGCTCTGGGAAAAAAAAATGCCATTTACATGTTCAATAATGTTAATAGATTATAGTGTACACCGAGTCATACAATTTTGTGCATTTTACAGGTAAGAAGGGCGAAAAAGCCGAGGAGTCGGTGGAAGCTGAGGCTATGGACACAACAGCTAATGGCGCAGCATCCACAGAATGAGAGAAATGTAATTTATCTGTGTTAACTTTTTTTTAATTCAATTTTGGATCCTCCACTGTATTTTCTTGCTTCTGTATACTATTTTTTTTTAACGTTTTAATAGATAAGTATTTTTAATTGATAATCAATGAATCTGGAATTTGCAAAGAACACCCCCAAGTACTCTACTTTGAGAACTTTTATCTCAAAGTAAACATTGAAATCTGGTTTTTAACTAAACGTTGAGGAAAGTTGCATTCATTGGATTTTTTATTCTTTTTTTTTTCCCTTTAAAAATGTTGCCTAATTTTTATTTTTAGTAGTTTCGTCCTCCAAGTGCATCTGCCTTCATTTCGCTAAGATGACACTCGTTTTTGATCAATTCTTCTGATTGTATGCGTTAATTTGATTCAATTGTGATTGGTGGAAGTTAGAAAGGACGGAATTGAAAAAAAAACAAATTACTTTTCTAAGTATTACAGCAAAAGCCAAAGGAAATATTAAGTTAATTCATATAGGTGTACATGCCAGGGGTGATAAATTGCAACTGGCCTGGATTTTGAATGAACCCACCAACCATATTGTGGTGGATTCAATTCAGTTGTGTCAATGTCAGAGTTGGAGCCCCAAGGTTTCCTGCAAAGCTCTGAATTCTAGAAAAAGACTATTTTCTTTAGCTATCTAAACTGCTTGATATCTCTTTTATGAGGTCAGATTTTCGTTCCAAAGGATCTTCTAGCTGCGTTGGAAGGTAATCACATGAATAATGCTGTGCACAACACCTGATTTGACACAATCACAACCATTGAATATTTTAATAAACTTCGTGAGACCTACACTATCAAATGGTGTATGTTGAGATGGTTGTGTAGCATTGTTGATCAGATACTCACTCCAAATAAAACACATTTCTCAACCTCGAAATTAATGGTACATATTCAATGCTGTAAAATCTTACAAGTAATTTTTTTTTAAAAATGAACTTATACACCAACCTTTTCGCCCTCATTGGGTGTAAAAAGTTCATGAATATCGGCCAAACCGGAGGAACTCGACATTTGGATCCTTACATGCCTCAAAAACCACGACATGAAGGGATCACTATTTACATTCTGGATTTGCCAGAGAACCATTTCAAATAATTTCAACACTGATGAATGGATAATAAACTCAAGCATACAATAAAAAGGGAAATCAAAAAAATGGGTACATCACAACCTGACAAGTCCAAGAAGCTGCAATCTCACCTGTCAAACAACAAATTCCTTGTTATATGTATTATTGACCACACAGACGGTTGCAAATGAGAGAGGGAGGGAGAGGGGAGACAAAATGCTAGTCCAAATTATTCTACTTATCTACATGATTTCCATATATATTCTAGAGCTGGATTTTATTTATTCTGAACTGGTATGCATTGGATATCATGAGCCTTGATGGAATACGATCATCTTCAAAAAAGAAATAATGTCCTATAAAATATAAATCTGCATCGCTTGCAAGAGAAGCTATATGCATCATATGAAAAACAAACTTCAAACAAAAAACAACAATTTTGTCTCATGAATGTCAGAGGAACTTACCTCAAACCTTCCTTCTCCTTCTACGGGATCATAGGAAAACTGGAGGACACCAGACACGAGAACACTGTTCCATCCAGAAGACTGCAATATCAAATCTGGACTATGGCATCTTCAATGCTTGCTTTAATTGGGCAAATGCTGCTGGATGCATTTTACAAATAGCTACATTGAAAGAGTCCCCATGAAGTGCAGCACATGCTTGGAGATTGTCCCTCACGGAATTTTCTAGTGAAGCCTGGTTTATAGGGTCTGAGATTTTGATCTAGCAAGCAAAGAGAAAATCAGTCCTAATGTACTTCTCAAGACATTAACTCTCTTTAGAAATCCCAAGTAGCCTTACCTGTCTCTTTCTGAACTCTCTGCTTGGAACATGAGGCTTGCTAGAGCTTATGTTATCGCTACTGTTGTTCAATAAAGCAATTGAAAATTCCAAAAAGAAAAAGACGCATAATCAGTTCCTTGTTTTACAACCACCATTAATAATAATAACATAGTCAGAAGTCTAATTTCACATCAACCTGGACTCTTCCTCGGCTAAGTCTTCACTTGCACCCAATATTACACTTGTACATACACTACCATGAATCAAAGTTACAAGCATTACGAAAGTGCAGAACTCATATGATGTTTGAACTACCACTGATGATCAACCAATTTAAAGTTTGACCAAATACCTTAGGATCTGATCAAGTTTATCGAGTACTTGAGGCAATCTCAACGTCAAAATTATAGAAAGGGCTAAACCAAATGTCTTTCTTTGGATAGAAGTTACATTGTCGACCTGTTGATCAAGGACAAAGAAAACAAAAAAGGTGAGATAACTAGAGAGGTATGTTCAGGAGATCGCTGCAGGTAAACCTGCCAAAAGAAACAGTACCACTTGGACCTCACAGGAATTCAATCACATGTCAAAATAGGAAGATAGGAAATGTAAACCTCATCTTTGCATGCAATCTATGAGGCACGGATGGGAATCATATTGGACATGGAAATTGACTTCACATGGCTCGACATACACATATTGGATCGTGAAGCCAACAGAAAATAAGGTACTGACATCAACAAAAACATATTTAGGCATAATATGTTACAAGAAATAAGAACACACCAGATCATGATTGAAAAATCTAAATTTCTTTGGAAAAAGCTTATAGGGTATATTACAATAATACCCTTATGGTTTATGACAGTTGCAAGGGAAACCCTCATGGTTTTTGAAGTTATACTCCCCTATCACCTAAGGCTCGCCCTTACAGCTTATGAGGGCGCACATTCGCTGGAGGCAGACTCATTCAGGAACCAACCAATGCCTGCCCTGCTAGCAGCCATGATGACATGGGAACCATTTGTGCACCCAGGGGAAAGCGTTTTTAAATGCACTCCCTTTTGATTAGGGTTTGTATTTTATGGGGTATCAATCTGTTAGTAAACTAAACGTTAACTAAAGGAATCTAGTCATCATTCACACTTCTTTAAAAGTACTCATTTTATCTTTATGGCAGAAAAAAAAAAAACCGACCACCACCGTGCTCCACTTGAAACAAAAACCCCCAAACAAAACCCTCCTCCACTTTGCTCGCACCACTGCAGCTCACCCAACAACTGGGACTCATCTCCCTTTGAACACCCTATCTCTCTTCTCCCCGCTGACCCGAAAACATTCAAAAGCCAAACCTCCTTGCCCCCTCCCCCCTTCTTTCACCCCCACACCAAAAACGAATAAGGAAAAAAACGCACACTAGCATTTATCAGAAATCATAGGTGCTCCCATTATAAATTACCCATAAATACGACAGATAAACTATCAGAATGGTCATTTCTTTACATATTCACAGACTAATTGTCTCTTTACGTATTTGTGCTCCTTAGCTCACAGCAATTCCTTGACCATTTGGGTCAAGACTGATCCCCAGAAATGCATTCACAAACTGTAAAGTTTCCCCATCCAAAAATTGCAACTATTTATACTCTCTTAATCATCTAAGAGCATCTCCAACCCACTAGCTATTCTTCAATTTTTAGCTGTTTTTGCGAGTTTCACCCCAAAAATCAGCTCCAACCCAGCTAGCTATCCTCCTCGCCAAAACCTAGGAGGCCTTCGTGCTTGTTAGATCTGGAGAGGCCATCTTGCTTACCATTCTTGCTGCTGATCAACTCCCTCTGTTTTCCTGCCGTTGCTGCCGAAACCCATCCCCCCTCCCCTCTATTTTGCTGCCGAAACCCAGCTCCCCCTTCCCTCTGTTTTGCTGCATTGCTGCCGAAACCCAACTCCCCCTCCCCTATGTTCTACTGCCGAAACCCACCCCCATCTCTATTGATTTTTGTTATTGATTGATATTGATTTTTGATTAAGTAGGTATTAATTTTTGGTTAAATATATGGTTAAATTGCTATTGATTTTTTGGTTAAATAGGTGATTACATTGCTATTAATTTATGGTTAAATTTATACAATGTATGATTGAATTGTTATGATCAATTGATTTTTGTTATTTGAACCGGATGGGTGATAAATAGTTAACTAAAATAGAGAGCGTGGTTAGTGTAAATTTGAAAAAGTGGCTATAGCTAAAATAGAGAATATAATATTTAAATATATTTTGGCTAGCTATTTTGCTAAGCTGGGTTGGAGTTGCTCTAAAGGCCCAATGGTATCCCACATTTAAGAATTGACAGGAGGATCAAGATTTTGTTTCATTTAGGACTATCTAAAAACAGAAAATTAAACCAGATTAAGATGCTTCTCCAAACACAGGAAATTAAACTAGATTAAGATGCTTTATAATATCAATCCATCCATTTATTTACAGTATTCTTTCATGACTAACTGACCTTGTCAAGCCATACGTCAACCAGGCAAAGAAGAATATTTTCTTCTACTGGAAAACCTGTCTTCTGCAAGAGTACTGAGAGTGATGGTTCTGCTGTTAATTGGGCGAGGTAGTTGGTATTCATTACCAGAACTCTCGCGAGGATAGCTGCTGAAGATGCTTTTACAGCTGCCTTAGAAGGATCATGGTCATCACCCCCAGTCAAGCATATGAAGATGAACTTCTATAGATATCCACAGAAACGAAAAGGCCATAAACTCTAAGAAATGTGGAAGAATAGCAGCAATCTCGAGTGCTTGCATATAAAATCATCAGAGAAAAAAAAAACCACAATCACCTGAAGAGTAGCATTGATCAACTGAGGCACCTCCATGGGGAAACACTACCAAACAGCAGAAGCAAGTATATAGTGGTTAATTAAAATCAATAAAGGCCCACTGGCACTGGATCTACGCCCAAACAGACCTCAAAAATTACTAGACGACATGGCCATTTTAAGTGTCCAATATCAGTTGCTTAAGGTATCATTCTTTTTTAGAGAATCAAAAGAGTTCACCATCAAATAATAACCAATTCTAGACTAAGTAGACTAATCATCATGACATAGGCATGTCTCGAATCAAATACCTGAATTAGAATATCAACGAGTGGAAGAATTGAAAGCAGCCCCCTGTCATTGACATTTCCAACAACCAGATCAAGGAGTTTAGCTACACTAGAAGCATGCATACTAAGAAACTCAGTTCCACCCAATATTATGTAGCCTTCAGTGATACTGGCAGCAACCTAAGCTTCAAATAATTGAAAGATCAGCATAATATAACATTCCAGTTCAAAAAACATAATCGAACATTGAGGCAGCAAAAAGTTAATGTAAACTAGACCTTCAAGTGATCAAAACTTCTTTCCAAGATTTCCACAAGACACGGGAAATATCCTAGTAGTTGAGGCACCATTGAGGGTGCATGAGAAAGCGTGGCTTCCCATAACTGCATGATAATGAGGCCAGAATCAGTAATACAAAACTGAACGTAATGAAGGATTCTTTTTTTTGTACTGGGATTGGGTGGGAAGGTGGGGCAGAAAATGAGAAAAATAAGTCAAACACTAACCAGCATGCTGTCTTCCAGAAGTTCATCTGGGCTATTTACACTGATTCCAATTTGTAAGATAGGCAATAGCATGTTGTAACAAATGGGTGATTGATAACCAAGTGCAACCACAAAGTTCTTTAGTGCAGTAAGAAGCTGAATCTGTAGAAGGCTTTCACCAGAGGATTCCTCCCAGGCCTATTGAAAGGGTACATCTAAATCAGTGCAGGACAATAATACTCGGAGAGCTTGTCAACCACGGGCAACCAGATAGTGGGTCCTATGTACTGGGTGAAGAGAAGCTACTCTTTTAAACAATTACTCAATTCAATATCTATCCATTTTAGAGAGCCATTCCTCCCTAAGCACTCCTGGTTTTACTTATTTCACATCACAGGTGTTCCATTCATATCATCATTTGAATGTGTTGGTTCAATAGCCTTGCTCTGTTTTATTAACTCAGTCACCAATGCTCTAGTACAAACAATCACATTGGATACCATCTGCACCCTGTGTAGCTTTAACATACCTTCCACGTAGCAACAGTGATACATCTATTATTACGGGGAAAAAATACAAGCTTAATGCCAATCCATTATCATTTAATTTTTCTAATTATGCTCAATATTTTTCCAAGACGCCAAACTAGTACTCCAAACTGCCCTTGCTGCATCCATACTTAGCAGAGAGATTTACATCAGTAGAAATATAAATTTTACACAATACCTTCTGGAAAAACTGCACCAAGTTGTTTGCAAATGAAACAACTTCAGAGGCATTTGCTATTAGGACAGAGATGGTATTTAAAACTTGAACCTGAAAATAAATTTAACAGCAGCAGGGAACTCAGGTGAAAATTATGCAAAATTAACAATCAAAATTTATATGAAGACAAACAATAGGAATCGGAGCATAAGCTGGCTATGAGATCATATTGAGTTTTCCAATATTGTGCAAATTAAATCATTTCAACATTGATGTGACGTCTTCCAGACATTGAACATTACACGGACCAGATCTGAACATCCCAACAAGGCAATTTCTTAAAAACAAGAAGCAGACACAACAACACAACATCAATAAGACCAACATGTTTTCTGCTATAGTGTTAGGCTACTAAGAAAAAACATATAAAAAACTAAGGGTGGTTGAAATGCAGGTGCTAAAATGGATGCAAGATATACTAGATTTATAACGAAGATATTCGTCAAATCATAGAAATAAAACGACGTTTCATAATGGTAACAGAAGTCAAAGACGTGTTTTTTTTTTTTTTGATTTGGCATATCCCTTAAAAAATTGGATGCGCATTTTCACTCCAAATTCAAAGGAATATAGTTTTTTAGTGATTCATAATGATTTTATTGGTATCAAACACATGATTTTGATATGTTATATAAATATGTTGTATTTTTGAAGTCGCTAACACAGGGAAAACGCTGATTTTACTATCAAAGAATCTTAATTATATATCCAAAAATAATTACAAAAGACTGCCATTGGTATCCTATACTTGTTGGCCAGATGGAAAGCACCGAACCAGATCTAGCAGTGGATCTGCACGACTTAAAACAACCGGATGCCACCAAAAAACATGTGCCACAACAATCTGGGTATTTAAGAGAATAAGCAACGATAACATTACTGAGAAACTGAAAAATGTTGGTCTTATGGATGATCCCAAGAGGTGATGGCAGCCATGCTGCTCCACAAGGCGATGGAATGTGAATCCACAAGGAGAGGATAATTGAGGTCACATCCACATACATACTTCATGTTCTTTCTCAGATAACTGAAGGTATTAATGATTTGATTCTGTGCCTCTTTCAAACAAAACTACATCATATTCTCACAAGATTGAAGATTTTATGTGCTGGGGATCAGATTTAAACCTAGAATTGAGAAGGGGGTTGCTGCTAGGGCTAATAATTGAGCCGAGCTACTCGGGCTTGGCTCAACTCAAGCTCGGCTCATGTTCTAAATAAGCTGAGCTTGAACAATTTTTTAGACTTGTTTAGAAAACGAAACTAAAAGGTAGAAAAAAATCAACCGTGACTGAGAGCAAAAAGGTATATGATAGCACATAATTCAATTGAAATTACACACAGAAAAATGTTCTGTGGTCGAACAAGGGATGAGACATTGTTTAATTCAGTTAAGTTGCATTAAGATATACCACCTATTAGTTAAGGGAACTATTACTTCCACAAAAACCACAATCTGATTGTCTTGGTAGTAATAACAGTTAGTTGTGATACTGATATGTGTATCATATTAACACCAAGTTCCCAAGTTGTCAACATACATAAACATGAAGCGGAAGGTAAGACTAAATCCACTGTATGCAAATAAAGCAGACATGGGCCAAAAAAAGGAAAGAAAAGGAAATCAGTAACCAATAAAAAAAAAAGTATTGGACTACGTGATACACAGTTGGAAGAAACAACAGCAATAATTTACCTTCGAGTCAAACTCCTGGACTTCCTCCACCAATTTAAAACACAAATCCCAACATGTTGGAAGAAGGTCAGAAAAATCTTGCTCCGAGAAGTTTGCATCTTCAATATGAAAATACAAAGACCGGGATGCTGCCAGCTGAAAAAATTGAGGAACTACTTCAGAAATTCAGCAGGATAAAGAGAACAGTAAATTGGAAGGCTCAAATTATAATGTGATTCTCGAGAAACTATTTAAAAAATCTTTGAGAAGCTGGGTAGGACTGAAGAGTAATATAAAATGCATCATACCCTGACACATAGGTCTTTTTCCTGAAGCAATTTGATCAAAGCACAGTATACTGGTCGTCTGGTGTCATCTTTTATCTTCAAAGAAAAGCAGACATCAAAAACCAAATCACTGAAGACTGGATATCATTTGAAATATGGTGACAAAAGTATATGGGCCCAAAAAAAAAGGTTAATAGAACATTGACCATATAAATATCAATTAACTCCACTCTACCCTTCATAGTTTAAGTACAAAAGTTGTAGATTCTTGTAACAATGTACACAACCATGAACAGAGTACCACTGAACGCCCCATAAAAGTTTACCTTGCTGGTACTAGTAGTGTAACTGGTACCAACAACCTATCCATCAGAAGGATTTTAGATCATCCATGGCAGAGAACATTCCATTAGGAATTTCCAGCTCTTAAAAAAAAATATTTCCAGTCTCCACGTTGGCAAACAGATGATTTTTTTTTTGGGGGGGTTGGTTTGTAATTTCTCTACAGTGCTAATGGAAAATAAGAAGAATGTGCTTGTTAAATCAATTATATAGCATGGCCTAAAGATTGATTCCATATCATGAGCAAAACATGCACATACAATCTCAAACTCATTTAAGAAGAGAGATGGAAATAAAATATGCATAATAGCAGGCAGTATAACCAACTAATAATCATATGAGCTTACAATCCAGCTCATTCAGTAACATACCTCAGAAACCCACTGCCCAAGGATTAGTCCAACTTTCCTGTGGATGATCCGCATATTTGGATGATCATTTTTGAGTTCTAGAGATAATGCACCGTTGAACCTACATAACAGTTCCAAGGGGAAAAAGCCGTAGAATCACCCAAAAAAAGATAACAAAACAAGATGAGCAGACCCCATTGATTGTCTGCTGTATAAGTAGCAAGTAACTAGACCACCAAATACAACAGTGTATATAAACCAGGAGGGAAATCAACCAGGTAGGGACAAAGAACAGAAGCATCTTTCAAACTATTAAACCTTTCTCAAAGAAATAAGTTATTAAGAGGTTTGGCTACAGAAATTACGGGGAGGACTGCATATCAAGTTTTGTCAATATGCCAAGTCAACCCAACCCAAACATGATACTAGTATTACAGCTTGAGCACAAGCCCAGCTCAAAATCAAACAATGTTTTAGGCAACGCTCCATCTCAATCTGGTCCGGGTTGGGCTTGCACAAAACTTCTATGTGTCATCACATCACATTTTACTCATAGAAACTCAAGTGGCAAGTCCATGGACCTTTCATATGTAGGAGTCCAAGGTAGCAGACTAAAGATATTACAAGTATACTTCGATGTAATTTTTGCAGAATTTTTTTTTGAAGGTTATTTATCAAAAATCTACCGTAAGTTCAGGTCACTGAAATTCAAGTTTCATTCAGACCAAAAAAGGAAAAGAAGTAAAGTTTGCCCAAGACAAACCAAAACCCCAGAGGACTCTCCACTAAACTGTCCATGTCACAGACGAAAGGCCAAATGTTAGCTGATTCTCGATTTATAGAAAATCCAGTCTTGCTCATTAGAAAATAAAATCGAGAGTAACACTCAGATGCAAGGAACACAAGTATTTTTTATAATACATGAATAAACCAGACACCCCCCCCCTCTTCCCTCTCTTTATCATTTTCCCCCATTCTCCAAACCAAAAACATTTCAACTTGTTTGAACAATGTAAAAACAGGACATATGCAAGGCCAAACCCCCATCCCCCACCCATAAAAACCCCCTCAGCAGGGGGGCAAAAAAGGGGAAAAGTAACAGTGGAAAGAGAAGAAAGGGGGGGGGTGGTTTGAGAGAGAGGCAAAAGAACGAAGAAACACCCTCTGCCACCAAAAAGGGGGGGAAAACGCTAGAGAGAGAGTACAATACACACGAATTGTTTTTCTTGCTGTTGTCACTTAAAATATCTAAAGTTCAACAGAATGCATAGTTGAAACAGCTATGTAAGATAGACCAATTGATAAATACGGCACCTAGAAGTGCAGGGAATGAGCATACCAGTCTTTGAAGCTCATATAATTTGAAAGCTCATAATAAACATATGCAGCAGCACCATATGCGGCATCCTTGAGAAGTAATGCTGGAGTAATTTCACTTATTGAAGGAGGACAAGCATTCATTGCCTCTTGAAGAATGGAAACCACAATAGGGCCTAACAGCTGAAAATTACAATGATAGAAACAAGTGCACCTTTTTAAATTCAACATGTTACCGGAAAATTAAGGAAGATTCTAACACCAAGAACTAAGTACACCTACTTGGCTATGATTTTCAAACAAAACAATATATAGAGCTTCAGCACAGGGCCTTAGTTTTTCTGTCCACAGGACCGAATCCTGCTCATGATGAAAAGACTCTGGGTTCTGACCCCACTCCTCCAAATCACTAGCTGTTAAAACAAAATACCTGTTTCAGCAGCAGTAGCACAGGCTTAGGAACACTATAATTAAAAAATGAAGAAATCATATCATATTATTGAAGACGGCCCCAATTTGAGTTATTCCCTTAGTTCAATCTAAAACTTAGCCAACCACATAAAACCATGTTGAACCACAGTGTCATTTTGTCAAAACATTTTGATATTGGATGCAATGGCATGTTATCATAAAATATGACCCAACATTATTTAATATCACCTAGCATGCATTTTAGAGGTCATTGCCAGGTACCGTGGTAATTCCGAGCTAATACCCTGTGGGTTCAAAACGGAGGCCAGTCCCTTTGTGCGTATAGCGCCAAAGGTTAGGCCTATACCCACACCAACACTTCCAATGCCCAACAAGAAGGATAATAACTCTTTAATTAGACCAATGGGCATTTGGTCTAATGGTACTCCTTATCTTATAAAATCTTTGCCTGGGGTCAAGGGTTCATGTCCCCCTCCCATTTTCCTTCCCCCTCCAAAAAATAAAATAAAAAATAACTCTTTAATTGGCACATGTTTGACAATCATGGGGATTCAGTTAACATATCTCACTCAAAATCCACATCCATGTATGCAAGCTAGACAGGCAACAGAGGATAGATGAATTTGCCACTACCTTCTTATCAAGAGTTTACATAAGAGTATCACTCGGTCACTGGGCAAAAGGGAAGTGAGGACACCAGCAACAGCGTTGGAAATGTTTTTCTTCATCTGCTCTAGGGTAAGCCCATTTTCATCCATTACACGACCTGTCAAGCTTGGCTTATACTCTTTACATTCCAGGACAGATTTTGCCATCGACATACACTGAATAAGAAATTGCTCAAATGACACTATCTCAGGTTCAGGATCTGTAATCTTGTTCAAACAGAAGTTCATGACGGGTGGAAGGACACATTTATCACCAAAGGAGTAAGGATGCCTGCGCTGAATTGTTACTAAAATCTTCATCAATTTACTACATGCCTTCTGTAAGAAGTTCCAGAATTTGTGGTGTTGCTCTTGGAAAGATAAATCTGCAGTTAAATTGCAACATCAGCATATCTCCCAATTTTGGCAAGAAAATTCTTTCTGTACGTAACTCAGCAAGATATTTAAAATGTGTAACTTCAACATTTCACTTATGATTGAAGAAATGTGGTTTTCTGAGTCCTCAAGGATATATTTTCAAGCCATACAATTATGCACAGACTTATCTCAGTCTTGAATGTAATCATTGTGCTTAATTCGCGAACAATTTTGCTAAGCATTTTATTGCCTACTATGATTGTTAGTAATGAAAAGTTACTAACAACCTTGATTACAAAGAGATAATGGAAAAATGGGCTGCGTTCTTGGGCCGGGGGAGCCCAACATGAACCAAAAATTACTGTTTTCAAGGCTAATTTAGGCAAGATGGACTGGTTTAGCAAAACTGTCGATCAACAATTATTTCTTAAAGTTCTACTAATTAAAATTCTGATGAATGCAATCACTGAAGCACTTCAAAGTATGCTCCTAATAACAGGTAACTCAACTCCACTCAAAAAAAGTTTTATCCCAACTACTTGGAGCAGCAAGATCGTGTTCCTCCATTTCACTCATGACAAGATGCAACCAAAAAACAAAATTAGGGTGTACCCAGTGGTGGAGGCTCCCGCAATTGTGGGGCCTGTTAGGGTTAGATGTATGCAACCTTAATTATATTTTTTTTAAAACCAAAATACATAATCAACGCTTCCAAAAATTCTGTTTTTCTGTCTATTGAATTGCAAATGGAAACATCAAATAATGACATGGCACGGCAAAAAACTAAGGGGTGGTGCCTCAAACAGGTAGAAAGATGCAGCAGTCAAGAAACACAATTATAACATGCAAAAATGGCTCAAAAGAACTAGGAATAACAGTCTACCACTTGGAAAACTCAAAGTGAAAACAGGAGAAAGATCTCACAGTATGGTAGGAATGACTGAATAGCATTCAACATCGCAGGGGAGACCTCCTTAACTGGCCACACCTCCTAAAAAGAAAATTAGTTAAATTATATCCTGTAAATCAATAAAAGTTCCATCAAACTACAGAAATTATGCACAGCAAAATTTAAACCTGGTAAAGGACAGAGATAACCACTTAAGTACCTGAAAAGATTTTGCATCACTTGGAAACCCAGAAATTATCAATTGGCGAATTATCTTCGAACACAGAAACCATCTTTCACATATTAGATAAAGATCATCATGATGTAAGTCTGAAGCATTAGAACTAAAGTTTTGAGCAAGTGCCGAAAAACCAAGCAGTATGGTCTGCACATCTCTCTGCCAAAGGTGCCAGCTGTAATCAAAGAATTGGGAAGATATCTGCCAAAAAGAGCATCCACAAATAGTGTACACTAAGTTGTGATGGTAATATTATGTTTAATCCTTTTGAAATGGATCAGAACCCCAAATCACAACGCAACTATATGTTAGCCTGGAAAAAGGTGGAGGAAAGCAAGGGGATTTGGGGTTAGGATGGGTGTTAACTTTGATACAGTATTTGCAGTGAATTGAACTCACCTCAAAGATCCTATTCTTATTTTGGAACTGATAAAGCAGTCCACTAGTCAAGGAAAAGCAACTCATGTATGTATAAACAACATATACAATTTAATCATAAGTCCAAAGGACTAGGGTCTTTTCAAAAAGGTAGAGTGTTTCACTCAAGAACATCTTCACTCATACCAAAATGTTCCCTAGGTTCACTACGTTGTATACTCTGAGATAGTAAGAAAACTGCATTTGCTCTGTCTGTCTCCCTCATGATAAAATAAAATCAGGAACTTATTTAAGCTATCGGAACAATCTAAAGTATTTTCTACAGAGAGATTATTCCAAATAACAAGATGAATTTTGAAACCTTTTCAACATATATTATAAATGACAGAACTAAAGTACTGACTACTGATGCATTGTGATTGATTAAAACATGTGAATGTAAAAATACAGTACAAAAATCTGTACCTCAGCAAAGGTCCTTTGATCTGATGTAAGACGTTTAGTGGACAACTCCTTCAAAGTTCGAAAAAGAACCATAAAAATCCTGTGGGAAGTTAGAATATCCGCCGATTGAAGCTGCTGTGCTAAAGTAGAAACGAGCTCTGGCCTGGATATATAATCAAGTCAGCTACATAGAGCTTGACCAAGGAAAAGAACATCTAAAAATTGAACAAGAATGAAAATCAACACAACATCAATTGCATAATAGACCAAGCCAATAAAAATGTTTGCTCTATATGCTGAAGCTCAGCATGGAAAGAAGAAAATAATAAAGATAGGCAGACTCGTTAGTACCAAAGCACAAAAATAGCACTTTTTAAATTATCAAGGTAAAATAGTTCTGTTACTGATACTTTGCCCAGGTTCATCAGAGGTTAGAAACATGCATAGAATGGCTAGGCATACGTGAATTTTCCACCGCATCGATCACAAAGATAATCAGAACCAGCCCAGCATCTTTAATTCAAATACCACAGGCATACTGGACAAAAGGCACATTTTAAATGCAAGGTTTATAGACTCACAGAAGTAATACTTTTATTGGTTTCTCCCCTACTTAGTAGTACATGTCCAGGCACAATCATAGGCTCATAGCCAACTTCTTCATTCAGCATTTTCAGATAGTAAAGTAGGCGTATCAATGAAACTAGCACATACAATTTTGCCTATTATTCACAATTTCCAAGAGTTACAAACATGTTTTGAGAAAATAACAATACGAACCATACCAATCTCTGGGATAGTCGATGCGAGCAATTTTCGAGATAAGCACAGCCAATGTGAGAGCAATCTGTATTATAGAAAAGATTTGAAACACATGAAATCAGCAAAGCTTCTAGGCTTAGAGTAGGATTTATGTAGGGGATTAGGAGTGCAACAAATTGTTCAGCCATAAAAAAAAAAAATACCAGCAATCGAGTGTAAGTACTATTGAACAAAAATGCGACCACAATAGAAACTTCACTACAGCTTATTTGATAAAGCGAATCAGAACCAACAAATGTTCTCACTTTAATACTAATACAGACACACAAATGCAGTTGTGCCTGTCAACCTTACATTAATAAACAGAATAAAGATACGATTATCTCATGAGCAATTTAGGCACCACCTGATAATTGTCTTCTCTTAAGTGTGACAACAGTTTTTGTCTCAAATGTATTTTCTCCTCAACGCTAATTCCCCTGAAGAGATATTTTTGCAGTAGATAGTGGCTTAGAAACCAAATCCAACAAAAGAGCTCCAATCAAATACATCCTTAACAGTTATGACCATAAATTGAAGGACAGGAAGAACAGCTTACGAGGAATCACGCCTGTTCCTCCAGTACCGATTGATGCTGTTCTTGAAATAAACCGAAGCCAATAATCGAACATCCACCTGAGCGGCTAAATCCTTTGCAGTTATTACTTCCTGCACCATGAAAAATTCTTCACTACGCAAACTCCATTTGCACTTATCTACATTTAGACACAAATATAGGTATATAAATGCATGTATTTCCACGCATGCACTGCTCATTGATGCTCTTAAACCTTTGAAATGAACATTTATGTTTTTCTGTACATGTACACCTCATTGTGGCTCTTAAACCCTAGAATAGAGAAAGAAATGGGAAAAATACCATGAGACAAGAGCAGAAACCAGGTCTACATTCGGATTGTGCGAGCGCGGCTTCGGCAGGTTTGCGTACGCTCTCGTCGCGACTCAATGAATTGGCGAGCAGTGTATACATCGCAGGTAGGTCAGAAGCCGACAGCGCCATTGCCACTTGTAAACGATCAATCAATACTTTCAATTAACTCTCAGACAAACGAAGATAAAGTGATGGTTGAACAGTTATCGCGATTCAGATCGGTGAATTTGAGACCCAAGGTTGTTGTCTGAGGTAGTGAGAGACGACAATGAACCTGTAGCGATTTGTGGAGTTTTTTGATTGGAAATGGAGATGATTATGTTCTATACTGTATCGATTGTAGTATTGGTGACGGATTCAGAGCTTGTTCGCTCCGCTAAAGGTTTCAGTCGTCGCCGAGTACCGAAAGCANACTGTATCGATTGTAGTATTGGTGACGGATTCAGAGCTTGTTCGCTCCGCTAAAGTTTTCAGTCGTCGCCGAGTACCGAAAGCAAAGGAAGAGTAAAGCCCAAAACCTGATGATGGGCTCATAGTCTGGGTCCGGCTTCTTACCGTTTATACCTCTACTGTATCCATCGCCCCCAGGCTGCCTGTAGTATTTATGTCATGCTATTATCGTATCTTTCAAATTGTTTTTACCAAAAATAGCCTTTGAAAGTTGTGAGAATCACACTTTATACCTTAAAAGATTTAAAATTTTTTATTTTATATCTTTAAATATTAAATTTCTCATATTATATTATATATTTAATATATTAAAAAAATTATAATGTAACATTTTCATTAACTTTTTATGATTATTCCGTCAAACATCACCTCATTGATAATAATGAAATAAGCGACAAAAATTAATTAAAAGTTAATATTTTTCCAACTAGCACCCTTACTAATGAATGATTCACATGACTAGACTTTTAATGGATAAACTTACACGGATAGAATTACCCCATACGAGGCATTTTCCGTCTCGTACAATGCACGTGGTATTAGATGATAAAGTGAAAGAGAAAATTGTTTCGTATCATTTTGTCACTTAAAGAGACTAATGCTCTGTTTGGTATAATAAAAAAATAAAAAGATGAAAAATTGAAAGGATGAAAAATTAGGGAGATAAATAAAATATCATGTTTGGTAAGGAAGGATAGAAAAGTGGATGAATTAACTTTCCTTCTAACTCACAAAAATCAATCCCTCCAAAATCGGAAGAAAAGTTAATTATTTATGTTGAGATATATTTTATTTATTTATATATCTTATGTATATATTAATTTAATATAAAAATACACCGGTAAAATATGTATATATATTTTAAAAAATTTTAAAAAAAATTAAAAATTAAAAAATTTAAATTAAAAAAAATATTTTCTTCATCTTAACTAAGGGTAAAAATTTTTGACTCAACACGATGATATGACTCGAACTCGATACGAAAATAAATAGGTCAACTCGCAACTCGACACGAAACAATTAGTTAAATGAGTTAAGTTAAGTTTGACTAATATTCGAACCAAACTCGTAATGACTTAAGACGAATCTGACACGATACGACTCGACTCTTTTGTCACCCCTAATTTTAGTTAGCACAAAAAAAAATAGTCATTTTTATTTTTGATCCATCCAACCAAACACACAGGAAGGAAAATGTATCCTTCTTATTTTTCATCCTTGAAGGATAAAAAATGTATCACTTTCTACTTTCCATCCTCCCTACTAAACGAAGCATAAATAAAAGAATAATATCAAATTATTGGATAGTAAAATTAATTTTATGTAAATAAATTTAAAAAATAGGGAATAGTTAATGGGAGTGGAAGAGTAGTTACAAAAGATACATAATATAATATAATTAGAGAAAACTTTAGTATAATAATAGAAAAAATCAAAAGATAAGAAATTAGAAAATATCGAGGGAAACTCAGGGTATTTTTGGATTGCATCTTAAAAAATAATATCAAAAATATGTTTTGGGAAAAAAATTTAGAAAATATCTTTAAATGTTTTTATGTCACAAAACTTATTTAGTTATATGATTCTAAAAGCAGTTCTATAGAGCAAAAAACTGTAAAACCGATTTAGACAGTAACCAAAAAAATAATAAAAATATGAGATTCTGTTTAGATCGACTGTTTTATAGAATACAAATTTTAACTACTAGAACCTAATGAAATTCATCTACAATTCATCCATATTCATTCATATAGTTTCTAATCATGTACAACTATCTCTCCCTCTTACTCTTCTTCTCCCTCTTTTCTCTCATATATATTTTTTGGATTTAAACTTTTGAAAATTTTTGTTGGTAAAATGATCTCAATTTTGACTTAAATTCTCTAGAACTTGTACTGAATTGAACTTTAGGACGAGTATAAATTTTGTACTTGACTCAAGTTCAATTTTAGCCAATCATAATAAGTATATTGGAGTTTGACCCAAACTTTTATTGAGATAATTATGTTTTTTAATTAGTTTAGGAGTTCTTAGTCCATATGAGATTCTTGCCCATTAGAGTTATTATTTTACTAGAATTATGTTTAGTATAGGATTTCTTGTTGGCTTTGGTTTTTTAACTTTTTAGCTGTTAGCCGTTAGCCGTGAACTTTAGGTGTGAGTAAAATAATAGTAACTTTTTGGTTTTGGAGAATTCTTTTATTTTTTTGACTTAGAAGTTTTGACATTCTACCTTCATTTTTTTCTTTGATTAAATCTTTGTGTGAGAGATTATTTTGAGTGTTTGTATTTTTCGATCCTATATATGAGATCATAGCCAAATTTAGAAATGGCAACTATGAACAAGTTCGTTCAATGGCCGATTGAAAATTTGATGTGAGGTTAAATTTTTAACATTGTTACAAATGGAGTTGTTTTTGAAAAATATGAATTTTTCAGATATTATGACAAACAGTTCACAAATCCTTGAGATTTCCAACTCGCACAAAAGCCCAAAAAGATGAATTGGAAAATAATCAAAAAATAAACAACAGATCATTGATATATATCTATGGAACAATTGGTTCGTAAATTTGTGACAAGATTACTTATGTTCTGATGACAAAGGTGGCATGTGATGTCTTGATCAATTGTTATATTGGATAATAAAAGGTAAAAAAAGTTCGGTTATAGACCCTACGCAGACAATATGAGCTTCTTTAGATTAAAAAATCAGAAAATATATCTGATTATTTCTCATGGACGTTGGTTATTGTCAATCAGATGAGAGCCAACGACGAGGATATAAATGATCTCTAAGTTATGGAAAAAATTCTTTGATCCTTATCAATGAGATTCAAATATATTGTCACATCTATCATGAAGTCAAACGAACTTAATTCCTTGACAGATGATGAATTGATGGGTTCCCTGCAAGCAAATGAACAAAAGATTGAATGAAAAGATTGAGATTTTAGGAGAAGAAACCGCAAAGACTCACACGAGTTTCAAGAAAAGAGAAGGATGAATCTCACAATACATCTCAATCAAATCAGAAGTATCAACATTCAAATAACTAAGGTACGTGACAAAACAGATCTTGTGGAGAAAAATATAAAAGTAATAATTAGGGTGAATAACGCAATAAATCCAAGATAAAGTGTTACTATTGTGAAAAATTATGGCACTATAAAAAGGATTGCTACAAATTAAGGAGACCTGATAACAATAATTATCATGCTAAAATTGTAGAGGGTAATGATGATAATTTAAAAGCTTTATTTTTGGCTAATAGTGCAATTGATGATGTTCAAATAAACAAGTGGTATCTAAATTCAGGCTACAATAATCATGTGTGGTTATAGGGAGATGTTCACTATATTGGATGAATCTATTCAATCAAACATTAAATTTGGGAATACTTCAACCATCCTCACAAAAGAAAGATGTAAGATTTCTATCAAGTTAAAAGATGGGTCTTTGAATGTTATTTCAAATATTTATTATATTCCCAATCTTAGCCACAAGTTATTGAGTATGAAGCAATTGTCAGAAAAATAATATGATATGAGAATTTTTAATAGTGTTTGTATAATTAGTGACAACCGCAAAAGACTAATTACAAAGATAAATATGACGCCCAATCATTTGTTATTTTTGCAAATTAATTATCAAAATTTACCTAATTTTAGTTCTAAAATTTTTGGGGATAATTGGTTATGAGATATGCGGTTTGGGCATGTAAATTTTTGTAACTTAAATTTTCTTGCCCAAAAAAAAATTAGTTTTTGGTTTGCTTGATATTAATATTTCTAGTCAAGTTTTTAAGACTTGTGTTTTGAAAAAAAAACATAGGGACTTTTTTCCCGATAAACAAGTTTGGCAGACAAAAAGACCCTTTGATTTGATTCACTCCGATTTGTGTTTAGTTGAAGTTCCTTCCATTGGTGGGAATAGATATTTTATTACTTTATTGATGATTTTAACAAAAAAGATCTGAGTGTATATTTTGAAAAATAAATTGAATGTCTATGATATGTTTAAATATTTGAAGGATTATGTTGAAAGGCAAAATAGGAGAAAAATTAAAGTTTTAAGGACTGACAGAGGTCAAGAATATGTAGTTTGTGATAATTTTTTGAGAAATCATGGTATTAAGTATCAGTTGACAATCAGATATAATTCCCAGCAGAATGGTATGATAGAGAGAAAAAAATAAAATTATTATAGATAGAGTTAGATGCATGATGAAATCTAAAAATGTGCCTAAAAGTTATTGGGTAGAAGTTGTTGCTTGTACTGTTTATGTTTCGAACAGGTCTACTACCAGAAGTTTCAATGAAAAAACTCCCTATAAAATTTAGACTGGCCAGAAGCATGAAATTTAACATTTGAGGGTGTTTGGTTATATTGTCTATGCCCATGTTCCTGATCCACTAAAGAAAAAGCTTAAGAATATGATTGAAAAGTGTATTTTTATTAGGTACAATGTAATTACAAAGGGGTACAAACTTTATAATCTCGTCACAAGAAAAGTGATTATTAGCAAGGATGTCACTTTTGATTGGCAGGGTTGTCACTTTGATACCAAAAGGAAGACAAGTCAGTCACCTTTGTTCCTTTTTATGTTAATGATTCAGCTGGTGATCAACCAATTGAACAGTCTCCAGCTGTTCAATCCCTGCAATCAGAGTCATTCAAACATTCATAACGTGAATGATACATGCTAGCTAGATTG